GAAATATCTGGCAGACCTGGACAGTAGGTCTGAGAGGGAAGAGAGGGGGGTGGCAAGCTGGCAGTCAATCCTCCACCAAGGTGGAGTAATCAATGCTGTCCAGGGTTCCTTCGGCCGAACGGAAGGAAGCGTGAGTGAGTGGTTGTATTGTATTTTGACTTGCCGGTGGAATAGGAACCGGACTGACGCTCCCCAGAATAGAAGGAGCCAGGACCATAAGGCCCTGTTTGTATAAAAAAAAAAAAAAAAAAAAGTTTTTTGAACACCGGGTCACAGTTGCAGCGGTAAACGCATCCGGCTTATACAGCCGAGGTCACCAGTTAGATTCCGTCTGGCTGTGGCAGAGTCTGATCCTGGCTGCTGTTCCCAGTTGGACTAACCAAGTGTTTTCGAAGGACAGAAATAACGGACGGGAACCACAAAAATAATTCATTTGGAATCCAGCTCTATCTTAGAAGTGCCTGCAGGATTGGGGATGTACCTCTGAAGGTGAATTACGAGGAGCAGACATCCGAGGACACATTCCTGCTGTGCTTATTGGGCTGGATTCCTGTGCTTTACCAGTGTATCAAGTCACTCTCAAGAGTCTCAAGTTACTCTCAGCCCATCTCTCCTTTCCCCTGCCCTTTATAAGATACCTAGACTTGGAACTTGGAAGCAATTTTGACAGTCAGAATCCCTGCTGGGATTTAAGAGTCTTGTAAGTTATAAGCGCACTGGGCTCACGGAGAATGGAAAAATGGGTCGATAACTTGGCACTCTGGTAATCCACAGGAAGGCAGCCCAATATATGCACAGCAGGAATGCATCCTTGGATGTACCCGACGGTTCATCACTTGCTGGAGTGCATCAAATCACATGCATGTACACAGATTTCACAGATTGCAATGTCTCACACAAAGCCCAATAGAAAATAAATGAGAACCAGGAAGCTCAACTCAATAGTCAAAGCTTTTAGTGCTGTTTGATGAGCCCGCATAGTAATAGGTAGTTGGTTAGGTAAAGGCTGACCAAGCCGATGATGCTTAGCTGGTCTTTTCGGATGATCAGCCACACTGGGACTGAGACACGGCCCAGACTCCTACGGGAGGCAGCAGTGGGGAATCTTGGACAATGGGCGAAATTATCAAACCCAGATTAAAGAGGGGACTTCGTGAGTCCAAAATATTCAGCGCCGAACAGAGTTACAAGTCTTCTTCAATCAACATGAGTTCCAGGCCTGGCGCTCATCAGCGCCAGCTGCCAAACGTCAACAACAGCGCTCAACAGGTAAGTGTCACCATAGCTCACACCTTAGCCTCTCTCGTCAGCTTTCTTCTCTCTCTCCCTCTATGTCTACTGTCCTGGTCTACTCCCACTCATCATGCATGTACGCTCCCTATCACACAAGGATCTACTCCAAATACCACACACTGGTGTCTTCTACTAGCTATCCCTACTAATATACTAACTAGCACTGGTGCAGCTATGGCTGCCTTCCTTCCAGCCAGCGCCCTTCTTCTCTTCCTCTCATGTAGCGCTGCTCACAGCCTAGCGCAGCCCACGCACATCTAGCGCACAAGTGCCACGGCACTTCCACACTCTCATGCGAAGTGAGCATCTGCCAAATGGGAGGCTGGCCAGTCCTTTATAGTGCTGGACTGGTCTGGCGTGGCCTGCGTTCAGCCTCAAGTGTGCCTGGGACTCCTGCCCCGTACCTTTTGCTGCAAAGTGTGTGTCCCAGTATCTTTTCCCATGGTCTGCTGCTGCTTTGGGCCATCCGGCCTGTCTTTTGGACTCCTGGTCTGAATCAGGACTGACTCGTGGGATTATGACTGGACTGGGACTGCGGTCTTTGACTCATTGCCGAACAGACATGACTTTTCATCGAGGAGACATGACCTTAACTCAGTCTTGAAGACTGTGTCCAATACCTGTTCGTTCAGGACCTGTTTGTGACTTTTCAAAACGACTTTTCATCTCATTCTGGATGCGACATATGCCTCAGGGAACTTGTCTTTTGGGTTGCTGCTCGTGAATTTAAGTTCTGGCCGACAGGACCCCTCGCTGTTGGGGCGTTCATTGGGGTCTAGTTCGTAAAGGCCCTTTTACCTTTCCCCTGCCCTTTATAAGATACCTAGACTTGGAACTTGGAAGCAATTTTGACAGTCAGAACCCCTGCTGGGATTTAAGTGTCTTGTAAGTTATAACCGCACTGGGCTCACGGGGAGCGGAAAAATGGGTCGATAACTTGGCACTCTGGTAATGCACAGGAAGCCAGCCCAATATATGCACAGCAGGAATGCATCCTTGGATGTCTGTGCCTATCATTCACCTTCAGAGATACAGCCCCAATCTTGCAGGCACTTCTAAGATAAGAGTTGCAATACTTATTATTTACTTATCTATCTTGGCAGAGGTAGACAAGCTAGCGTAGGGAGGATGCAGGCTGAACCTTTTGCTCGGAAAACGACATGTGGAGGGGAGAGGTACGTTTGTTATGCTGCAGCAGTGCAGTCCAAACTGCAGCATTCTGCACCTTTGCATTCCTTCGTTATTCCAATTTTTTTTTACTTTTTTTTTTTTAAAAGGGGAGTATTTCATTGTCTAGGATTTGAACTCTTGACCTGTTTGGTCAATAGTTAGGTGTGTACCATACAGCCACAGGCAGGTACATTCTTTTGCAAGCAAGTAAGCAATGAGAGCGATGATAAACCAGATTGTCACATCTCACAGAAGACCAGACACAATTGAGCCAAAATGAAAGCAGCAACCAAAGCGAAGCAACAGCAATGTACACCTCCTATCGGCATCCTGAATGCCTAATCTACTTCCCATCTCCTATATGTCTAGCCGATCTACATGTCAGCGATCTGTCCACATGTCACACGTCCAATGCCGCTTGAAGACTCTGATCAAACAGTCTGTGTTCGTCAAAACCAGGTACGAGCCTCGTTCTCATCACCTCCCTTCTCTGCCCTTCTCCCCTCTTCCACCAAGGACCTCCGCAACTTCCACCCTCCAGCAATGGAGCACACAGCTTGGCTACGGCTGGTGCTCTCTCTCGTCTTCCTTGGTGCCACCGCATCAGCTTCCCATGGGCACCGCGCTCAGCTACTGCTACAGCAGCGTTGCCGCATTGGCACAATGCTCGAATGTGCAAGTCTGGGCGGCCTCCGCTCTTTTGTGCTCGCTGGAGACCCTGGAGAGGCCGTCCCCAGGCTGCGCCCTGTCCCAGTTTCCTGCGCCCGGGCCCTTCCGGAAGAGTACGCAGGCCCAGTACCTGCAACTAACTCGCGGGCTGGGCCTACCGGTTAGTTACAGATGCTGCATACTTGCATGCATGCATGCATCCTCGCACAATCTGTTTTGTTCTCACCGTCGGTATTCCGTGCCACCGAGCAAAGTCTAGAAACTCATGTCGGACTTTTCCGTTCATCCCAGCGCTTCCAAGCACGTTAATGGCGGAATTAGTACTGGTGGTTTAAAGTTCAGAAACTGGAGTCGGATAGAGCAGCAGAGAGACACAGGAAAGCCTGAACACGAAGAATATTTAAGATGGTGAGCAGTGAAGGGGCAGGACCACAGCAACAAAGGAGCTCCCTCAGCCCTGGACAAGTCCAAGCGGAGTAGGTTGGGAAGCTTCACCTGGAGGAGGCCACAAGCAGGGAAGGGAAAACTAATTAAAAAAAAAAAAAAGAAGAAGACCAGGGAATTGAAACCCGGAAAAGGGAAACGGCAGAAACCACTCAGACCAGCTACAAGAACAGCAAACGCCACAGCAGACGGTACCAGCTTGGAAAGGGTTGCCCAAAAACGTCAAAGCTCCATCAGAAAGGAAGCAGCTATGGGGCATCATCTGCACACAGGTGGTTAAAAGGGGGTGTTGTTTTTGGCGGATTTTTCATACTTTCTTTTCAGATAGTTCAAGGATAGACTGAGATTTCAGGCAGTCTGCATTTGTGGACTGAGAGGGACAACTCCGACCGATTTTTGAGGCTGTGTTTTATGGGTGTTTCTTTCTGTACGGGGAGGGGGTTTGCGTCAAGGATGGGCTAGACTGACAGCTGGTCCTACTGAATGAAGCACTCAATGCTGTCAGGGCTCCCCGAGCCGTAACGTGGAGAGCCGTAACGTGGAGAAGCGTGGTGTTGTTTTTGGCGGATTTTTCATACTTTCTTTTCAGATCGTTCAAGGATAGACTGAGATTTCAGGCAGTCTGCATTTGTGGACTGAGAGGGACAACTCCGACTGATTTTTTAGGCTGTGTTTTATGGGTGTTTCTTTCTGTAGGGGGAGGGGGGTTGCGTCAAGCATGGGCTAGACTGACAGCTGGTCCTACTGAATGAAGCACTCAATGCTGTCAGGGCTCCCCAAGCAGTAACGTGGAGAAGCGTAAACACTGCTAAACAGTGAGTATGAATAGCTTGCGAGCCTTTTCCACTCTTTTCAAGCCCCACTTAATTGGAGACTTGGGACTTATGTAATACTTGTGACAGTACAAGTAGAATGTATGTACTATATTATGTATCTTTCTGACTTGCTGAGGGAATAGGAACCAGACCAATGCTTCCCAGAATCAATCTAGACTCTAGAGCTGGGCCCATAAGAACCCGTTTCTTTGGAAAAAAGAAAGCAAAAAAATGGAATGACAGCTCAATTCATGCAGTCCACACGTACATAACCGTAGTGGATAGGTGCAAGTTCTTTTTTTTTCTTTTTCTTTTGTTTTTGGACAGGTGGAAGTTCAGCTGCAGAGTGCCTGATATCACCCACCTGCTCTGTTTGTAACAGCCAATGCTTGCCTGCTTGCATGACCAGCTGCAATAATTTCGGCATAGGTATGAATTGGGAATGGTGTTTTGGCTCTGATTTCCTCCCGAACGTCGTCACCTTTCAGTACCACCGCAAATTTGACGTTTGGGGAACCCTTGCTCTCTAGATGTGGTAACAGTTTTTCTAGAAGCTCCTCATTTTCAAGAACCATGGCTGAACTGGAAAAGAGAGAGGATGACAACAGAGGACGAGAAGAGAGAATAATGTTGAAGAGACAAAAAAATGTTTAGCTTCTACTGACACAAATTTAAGTGACGTTTGAACTAGGTTTGAAGTAAGTTTGAACTGGTAAAGATGAAGAGCAAGAAGGTTAAGAAAGAAAGGTTTACAGAACTTTACACCCTAAAAAACACAAATTGAGTGATGTGACTCAGCTCGTGTGGGTGAATGGTTCACACATGTAATTGCCAATCAAAAGACCAAGAGTTCAAATCCTGATGGAGTTGGACACAATAATGTCAGGGTTAGAAAAAGATTGAATGGTACAGTAAACACACGTCAATGATCATGAGTTCGAATCCTGACATCGTCCGATGCAAAAATGTGAGGGACTACCCCGTTTCAAAAAGAATAGGAGGGTCACTAACCAGCACGCATGACAGATCCTAATTTGAAGCCTACATAGTTTGATACTCGATACATTTTGTAGTGTGAAGCATGCATAGTTTGATATTCAGTACTTGTTACTATGTACATAGTTTGATATTTAATACGTAATACTAAATACATAGTTAGGTACTCAATACATATTGTAGTGTGAAGCATAAAAGTACACAGTTTGATACTCAATCCTCAATACTATCTAGTATCTACATAGTTTGATACTCAACAATATTGCAGTGTAAAGCATACATAGTGTGACATTCAATACTTGTGACTTTGCACATAGTTCGATACTCAATACATGCTTCACAATCTAATATTCAATACTTGCATATATCGAGTATCATACTATGTACATAGTAACTTCAATACTTGCATCAAGTTGCATGTATTGAGTATCACACTATGTACATAGTAACTTCAATACTTGCATGTATTGAGTATTAGACTACGTATATAGTAACAAGTATTGAATATCATAGTAAATTCAATACTTGCATGCAATACTTGCATCAAGTTGCATGTATTGAGTATCACACTATGTACATAGTAACTTCAATACTTGCATGTATTGAGTATTAGACTACGTATATAGTAACAAGTATTGAATATCATAGTAAATTCAATACTTGCATGCAATACTTGCATCAAGTTGCATGTATTGAGTATCACACTATGTACATAGTAACTTCAATACTTGCATGTATTGAGTATTAGACTACGTATATAGTAACAAGTATTGAATATCATAGTAAATTCAATACTTGCATGCATTGAATATCAAACTATGTACATAATAAGTATTGAATGTCACACTATGTAAGGTTCACACTGCAATAAACATACATGTTGTTAAAACTTAAAACTGACATTTTTTTGTAAAATCACGGAACTGAATTTAATGAAAATTAATTAGATTTTTTGTGTGATGTCTACCCTCACTCTATACAAAGAGGAAGTCACAATTTTACACAAAAAATCTAGTCAATTCTTAATGAATTCAATTTCATGATTTCATAAAAAAATGTCAGTTTTAATGAAATGTCCGTTAATATGTATTAAATATATCTAGGCTTCCACCAATGCTGCCAGGGTTCCTTTTGGCCGTAACGTGGGGAAGCATGGGTACAAGTTGTATTGAATTATTTTGCTTGTCGGTGGAATAGTATCCGGGTTGATGTTCCCCATAATAGAAGGAGCCAAACATTTCCTGTTAAAAAAAAAAAAAAAAAGGATGGACCCGTTATGCATGCAGTATGTAATATGTACGCTTTGCAGTGTGGAGCAGATATTGACTATAAAACTATGTATCTAATATAAAACATCAAGTATCAAACTAAATATCACACTATGTATGCTTCACACTGCGATATGTATTAAGTATCAAACTATAAAAATAATATTGAGTATCAAATTGTCTACATAGTAACAAGTACTGAAGATCACACTATGTATGCTTTATCACAATAGGTATGCTTCACACTCCAATATGTATTGAGTATCAAACTATATACATAGTATTAAATATTGAGTATCGAACTATATATGCTTCATATTGCAATTATATGCAATATGTATCGAGTATCAAACTATATACATAGTATTAAGTACTCAATATCAAACTATGTACATAGCAACAACTACTAAATATCACACTACCCATTCTTCGCACGACAATATGTATTCAGTATCGAACTATGTATGCTTCATACTGCAATATGTATTGAGTACCAAACAATACATATTGCAGTGTGAAGCATACATAGTTACTACCTACATAGTTTGACACCCAATACTTAATACTATGTACTCAATACATATTGCAGTGTGAAACATACATAATATTCAATAGTTGTTATTGTATACATAGTTTGATAATGAATACATATTGTAGTGTGAAGCATACATAGTGTAATATTTAGTACTTGTTACTTAATACTATATGTTATTATGCATAGTTTGCTACTTAATATATATTGCATTGTGAAGTGTACATAGTTTGATAAAGCATACATACTACATAGTGTGATATTCAATACTTGTTGCTATATGATATTCAGTACTTGTTCCTATGTACATAAGTTGATTCTTAAACATATTGTGGTATTCAATACTTGTTACTTTGTATAGTTTGATACTCAATGCATGCTTCACAATGTGATATTCAATACTTGCATGTATTAAGTATCAAACTATGTACATAGTAATGTCTATCAAATGAATATCACATTGTGAGCATGTAGTGAGCATCAAACTATGTACAAGCATACAAGTATTGAATATCACACTATAATATATATTGTGTATCAAACTATGTACATGGCATTAAGTATTCAGTATCAAACTATGTACATAGTAATGAGTATGGAATATCACATTATGTATGCTTTATCACAGTATGTACAATGCACACTACAATATGTGTTGAGCATTCAATTATGTACACAACAACAAGTATAGAATATTACACCAAGAAGCATGTATTGACTATCAAACTGAGCACAAAGTAACAAATATTGGATATCACACTGTATGTTTCACATTGCAATATGTATTGAGTATTAAACAATGTACATGGCAACAAGCATTGAATATCACACTCTGAAACATATTTTGGGGTGCCATCTAACTTTCAGAGTTTGTGACTTGAAACGCAGCGAGGTTATTTTCATACCCAACTCCAAAATTCATATACTCGTACAACATAGAACCAATGGGAGTCAATAAAAGTGGCCTTTTTTCACAAAAAAGCATGGTCCAATCTATTTGTGGGGAGCAACAAATGTGCCCAGTCTCCCTTATGAAAATACTGAGAACAAATTGAGAAACTGGGGCCATTACCCAACTTCATAATTCCTTTTAATGGCATAGGTTCAACCATCCAAAAAAAAACTCACAACATGATTCGAAAAAAGGGAGAGGTCATCACTCTCCCTGGCTCCAGAGTTCATTTTGGCTCGTAGTAAAGTATCCCTACAAACATTGAAATTTAAAAGTTATCGTATTTATGAGTTCATTTCAAAAGCGTTCGACATTACAATCTTGGTCGGCTATTGGATCGAATTAAGAGGGGCAGGTATATCATTGCCTACCTACCTGTCAGAATGGCAAAAAATATGGGCGAGCTCTTGTGGAGGGGCCTTCGCTCCACGCACAGCATCAATCACTCCTGCAACCATTGCCCCTACAAACATTCCAAAAATCCATATTTAAAGTTTATTAGTTTTTTCCTAACAGTTTTCTCCATTTCGCTCTTATTTTTCATTCAAACATTGTCTTTTCATAACTCCTCCAGCAAATTTCTTAGCATGCCAATCTTAGAATTCAAATTTATGAAAAATATCCAATCATATTTGTCTTTTATGCACAAAGACAGTTTGAGATATTGAGATCAATCGAATAAAGCCCGCACAAAGAAAAAAAAAGAATTCCGCAGCATTCTATAGGAGCATAATTCTTTTTTTTTGTGTGCTTGTTATACAGGGCAGGACCTTTCGTTAAGCACTTCTCCACCATAGATCTCCTCCTCCCCCTCCATCCCATCCCTCCTCTTCCCACCTCCATGTTCCCTCTTTACCCCTTCGTGCCGAAAGAATAGGAGGCACAACCTTTGATGCTACGCCTAAAGCGCGGTTGAGCCTTCATCATGTGGTTTTGTGGTAGGGGTTAGGGGAAGGGGGAGGGTGGGGAGAAGGAAGCGGAGTCTAAAATAGGTGAAAAGTTGAAAACAAGTTAGAGACCACCTGGCCTAGCTCAGTTGGTACACCCACAAACTGTTCAAATGCAGACCTGAGTTAGAACTCCAGCGCAATCAGATGAGTTAAAATAAATCTGAATTTATCTAGGGCCCGTCAGCCAAAGATGGTATCACACGGTTGTCCCCCTTTTAGGAAAAAAAAGGACTTGAGAGACTGACATCAGGAGGGCCATAGCATCTTTGTTGGTAGACTTTCGCTTGTTGGTAGACTTTCGCTGAGGAGTGCCTTTAGGAATCCAAACAAAACATAAAACAAGAAGATAAGAAGGAAAAAAGAGGATAAGGAATTATCTCACGACAAGAAGGAAAAAGAGGGGTGTGGAAAAGTCTGACCTTGATCAGCAATAAGCCATCTGTGGGAATTCTCTGAGAAAAGAGAGATTGTCTCCCCTTTGTTCATGCCAAAGACTCGAATTCCTTCACCAAAATCAAGGATCGACTCTGCCAGCTGTTCATGCCACAGTAACAAGTTCATAGAGCATCCTCAAGCATCATTCTCAAGTCCATCAACTATCTGATAGGGTGATAGCATAATTCTTTTTCCTCCTCTTTTCTTTTACATAATTCTGTCATTACCGACTCATTAGACTCTTTACAGTAATTTTAACTAATTTAGTATTTACTAACTGGCAACTGCCAAAAAAAAACATTACATACTTTTCCCAACTTGTACAACTCTTGTCCATTCTGAAAAGTAGGATACAAGTCGATGCAATTTCTGGCTGCAGTTTTTTGAAACCAAGATCGCAAACCAAAAGTAACTTGCGGCATCTATGAACCCTGCATCCCATAAGCAGATGCAATTTTGTTTTTGCAGAACAATGCTACAACATTATTTTTAAAGTCAACTTCAAAAACTCTTCTAGCTCAGTCAATTCTGTCCAAAGACTCCAAACCCGAGACTGAGTGACCATCGCAAGCAATAAGCACTTTCTCAGACTCTAAGAGCAAAACCCATACTTTTCACAAACCTCACAAGAACATAACGGACAAGCCTCATGAATCCACTTGTTTCCCATCACCACTCCGCACTCTTGAAAGAGTCAGCATGCTCCAGAATGAATTTGCACATGTAGCAGGATGTAGACTAACCTCCTAGTTTGGTGTGTTTGTTTTGATTGCGTTCCTGCCAGGAATCGATCCCTGGCCTTGCTGTCTGTTTGTTTTTCTGCATTTTGGTTCAGCCGGGATTCGATCCCTGGCCCTTTGTTTGACATTTTTTTTCCTTGTTTTGGATTTGCCAGGACTTGATCCCAGGCCCTGTCCCTTATTAGGGCTGAGCACAGCCGTTACTTTTATTTTCCTTTAGGTGCTGTCCGTCCTTAGGCCATTTTTCAGTCTAGGTACAGGAGCATTGTAGACTAGCTGCTGGTCTGTCCCTTGTAGGTCACAGCAGCCGGGGGTAGCTCCTAAGGCTGTTGGGTCCGTGTAGAATCTGCTAAAGGCCAGAGGGCAAAGCTGTGTGGGCTTTTGGCTGGTCATTTTTTTCTTTTCACTGGGAAGTGAAAAACGGGAAGTACTCTTCAGCAGCTGCATTACTTTCCAAGCAGGGCAGCTCTTCATGGTGGTTGGCTGGCGGCCATAGCTGAGGCCTTCCAGCATCCTGGGTGGCAGTGCAGGGCATCAGGCCCCATGCGCTGTAACTGATGCCCATGCGCTGTAAGAGAGGTTCCTCTATCGTGTGTTGTTGGGGGTTTGATAGCTGCCATCAAAGAAGCTTTGACTTACCTTCTTCGAAGTGGCAGAGGTCTTCATCTTCATTGAAGTGCACATCCTTCTTCTTCCTCTTGGGAGCTGGAGCTCCCTGCTGGCTGAGCGTTACCTCGGCAGAACGAGTTGTGAGTGGTTGCTGACTGAGCACTGGGGTCTTCTCGGGTGTTCTGGCGCTTTGCAGGCGGATGGGTTGGGAGCTGGGGCGCTATAGCTAGAGCCTGAAAACAGGAGGGTGGAAGAAGAAGACTCCCTGATACTTCAATGAAACTTTATAAATAATTGGTCCGTGGATGTTGATGACGTGGTTGAGATTCTTGGAACAAGTACTTTGGAAGTTTGGATTGATTGGAGGAGGACGAGGGATTCCAGAATTGAAATTCGTTTTTCAATTCTCTGTGTACTTTGAGCTTCCGCTGTGCATATCTTCTCTTCGGTTTTGTGTGGATTTGCCTCCTTCGAGTCTACTATACAATTGCATGCGTGAATGGGAACGTGTGAATTCGTTGTGGGTTGAAGCTCAATCGGGTACATAACAGTTGGTATACTATCGCGTGCGTTCAGCGGGCTGATTGATTGGCCAGCATCTATCAGGCCGGTGGTTGGCGACTTGGGGCGGTGCCCCATTATCTTCAACAAGCGACGGTGGTGATAATTGCTGATTGATTGGTGTGCATCAGCAGGACATCGTGCAAAAAAAATAAAATAAAAAAAAATCAGAGGGAGTGGTCTCCCCCTCTGAGCACACCCAAGTGTGACCAATTAGCGCCATCAACCCTAAGTGGACCGGTGGCGACCTGAGGGTTCCACAACCCTCAAGTGGCAGATTAATTTCTGTGAGGCCAGCCACTGGTGTAGAGACCCCACTGGGGGAATCTTCAATTTCGGAGGCGAAGCTTCGGCGAAGGTTCATCTGCGGTTCTTGATTGGAAGCATCAGGTGCTGCTTGATTCTGCGTCAGCTAGACCTTTTGCAGACCCGGTCAGAGTTGACCGGCTGGGACTTTTCCAACCAAGATCAACCGAGTGAGTTCGTTCCGGTACCTGTCCTCTTTGACGTCGGTTTGTTAGTCCGTGTCTGTCTGTCCGGGCTGTCAGTCTGTATTCCGTCAAAAGGGTAGGTCGAAGTTTGCTGACCATCAGGTATCAGTAGGGGGTCAGAAAATCGTAAATCCCTAATGCTCCCTGCTTGCTGTTGTCCGAAGGTTTTGACCCTGCACACAGGCTAAGTCAACGGTCCCTGTTCTGTCTGTTCAGTCCCGTCTGAAGTCTCAGATCTAGGCGACAGTTCAGTCCACTACCGTCAGCCCTTTGGCTCTGTTCGTCGTGTCAGAACGGTCCGTCCAGTCTTCTTGTTGCGTCAGTCTGCAAAGCCGGACTCAGTCAATGCTGATCTGCAAACTGAGTTTTCCCCCCCTCTCCTCTGGAGATTGAAAGAGCATTCTCCCTACAGTTTAGTTATTTTTTCTGCGGAATGGATTCACGATTTCTTGCCATGCTGTGAGTGATGGCTTTTCAGGGCAGATGCCGCAAGGATCTGATTGAAGTTTATTTTATTCTTTGATTGATTGCAGCGTGCAGTAAAGGTGAATTGATTGCTGATTTTGCTGTTGATTGTCACGGCAACCTCCCTGGATGCCTACTAACACTCCGCACTACTCTGCCTATCTATCTAACCCTTCTATCTCTGAGTAAACAACACAGTTCCGATCAGATTAGCATATCTGATTTTTATTTTTATTTTTCCTTTCCATTCTATATTTTTTATATTTCTGTTAAAAGATCAAAAGGCATAATAGTCGAGGAAGAATCCAGTGGCGGCAGGGAAGACAAGAAGCCTGTTGGGCCTGCGCCAAAAAAGCCACTGGAGATTGAATTGGAAGAGGTGGAACAGGGCGCAGAAGCAGCCAGATTGAAGGTGGAAGAGGTGAAAAGGAAGAAAGAAGAAGCAGATGCTGTAACTCGTGTACCAAATTGAGCCGATAGGCTCTCGTCACGCCCGCAGACAAGCACGAACGGGCAGGCCTGGAAAAAGAGGAGTCAAACAGGCCTTGGAAATGGCCCAGGCCGGCAGTTGACCGAAAAGTTAAGAGTCAGCTCGTGGACCCAGGACCAGATCCGAGAAGTCAAAGTCAACACACAAGATTTCCTGGCCGTCGATCTGGAATGATCTAACAGTGGTCTGTGGGTTCCGGAAGATTCAGGCCTCAAGGAGCCCCCACACTGACCCTGGACAGGCGAGTCAACACTATATCAAGTTGACCTCACCACTGCTTGGTCATTCAGTCTTGCAAGTTGCAGGCAGTTACGATGCTGCACGTGAGACTTGAGAGGGAGTCCTGGGGCCAGGCTGCTTCATGGGCACCGACCAGATACCGTAGTATAGAGAGAGGGAGAGGGCGGCCAAGGCCGCGACCATAGATGACGGCGAGGGAATTAAGAAAGAGAGAGAGAGAGAGAGAGAGAGAGAGAGGATGTGGGTAATGTGAGTTGTGCATACGTACCTGATTTCCTCAGATGTGAAGCTGCCGCCAATTCTGCTCGCTGTGGAAGGATCGTTTATCTGCGAGAGACTGCTTCTACATCGTCCACATGTCATACTGAGTAGAGAGCGCTGACATGGCACATTGAGTACAGATTGCTGACGTGGCATATTGATTGCAAATTGTCGACATGGCATACTATGTGCAGATTGCTGACGTGGCAGAGGTGGGGAGCCTGAAGGAGAAGAGGGACTTGTTTGCTGTGTCACACTTCTCCTTCCAACTGTCTATTCTCCCCTCCTCCCTTTTCTGGGTACTGCGGACTTTGAGACTTTATACATGGGAATGAGGAATCATGTACTTCGATGACTTCGAATTGATGGACTTATTGGATTGATTATATCACGACATTGCACGACATTCTTATCTGCGACAGACGAGACTGGGTTCATTACAATTTGGTATCGGAGCAAACTCAACTCATCACGCCGATCTGCTGCTCGATGGAAGATGACGGCACGATACAAGGTTGAAGATATCTCTCTGATAGAGTGTTGACATGGCACTTGCAGAGTGGTTGTAACCATATGCTCGTGCCCACGGGGCACTCGCTGGTTGGTTCCCGCAAGGGAATAAATCACCAGAATAGTCTCTCTCTGAAAGGGGTGCTGACGTGGCAAAGGCAGAGTGGTTCTTACCATAGCCCTACACTGACGTGGCACTCACTGGTTGGTTCCAGTGAGGGAATAAATCGCCAGTAGATGCTGTGCTGATTGAAGAGCGCTGAAAAGGACAACAGAACCAGTGCTGATGTGGCATACTGGCGATAGCATTGCCCACGGGGCATACTGGTGAGAGCATTGTCCACGTGGCAGATGGTGATAGCGTTGCCTACGTGGCATACTGAAGAGAGAACCGCTGCGGTTGTTGAAGATAGACCGACGAGGAACCGAAAGAACAGCGGGATGATGTGTCCCGATAAGTGTTGATATGAGCTAGGCCTTTGATTGGCCCTGAACTGGACTTACCTCGTTGATGTATTGATTGATGCTGATGTGGACTTACCTGTGCGGGTTTCTGATGTTGTCTGGCCTGTGGACTAACTGTCGATGATTCTTGACCACACGACCAGAAGGAACCCACATACACATTGGTAGTCGGTACCAAAAGCAGCAAAACACATTGCATAGAGAAAGTAACAAGTAGATTAAGACGTTGATATTTTACTTTTGGCAGGATTTCATTTATTTTTCTTT